TTTCCTCTATGCATTGTATTTTTATTAATGCACCATGAGCTTACATTAGGTCTTCCAAGAGGGATTTCCACATGCCTGTTGGCTTGGGTGTGCAGGGGTATCCCCTGGGGGTCAAGGCTTCAGGACCTATTGACTGACACCTCCTCACCTTGGGGGCTCTGACAAAGAACCAGGTGGCATAAAAGAAAAGGTGAAATGAGAAAGCAAACACTCTAGTTAATGCAGCAAAAGAAAGTCATCAGTGACAGACTCAAAGGTCCTGCTTCCTTTAAAAAAAATTCTGCACTGTGGGTTACTAGGTGTGGTCATTAGTGCTGCCCAGCAAATGTTTCTGATTCTCTTCCCAGGTGCCCAGTAGAAAAGCACTTCCCTGTCCCCTTGGAGTTAGGGGTGGTCATGTCACCCCTTGCCTTAGCCAGTTAAATGTGAGTGAAAGCACCAGTGCGGAACTCATCAAGTTTCCTTTTTCTTGCCTTTGGAAATCAGGGGAGCACAGAGACGGAGTGTCCCTCAGTAAAGGTGACAGAGCTGAACCCCTCAGGTGACTTGTGACAGATATGGAGTGAAAGTGAGAAAGAAATCTTAATTGTTTTAAGTCACTGAGATTTTGTCTGTCATTGTTGTTACCACAGCAGACCCTAGACTATCCTGACTAATTCTATATTGCTGACACAGAACTAGAATACTCAGCATTCACGTCCTCTGCATCCACCAGATCACAGCTTTCACATTATTTCTCTTCCATGCTTCTAGTCTGTAAGACAGGAAACCATCTTCTGGTGGGCATGCACCTGGTACACCAAGCAGCTCAGGCGAGCCACCCTGCCAGCAGTGAGGGAGATGTTCCCTGTTCACATCAGTAATGCTCTAAAGAAAGTCACCATGGAGACTTTTTTAAACTCCCACAGGAGAAGGAACCTAAGATTATTTGACTAAAATCCATCTAAGATTATCATTGAAACCCAGAGAACGACGGGTTATCTGGAGACTTTAAAACGAACAGAAGAATCGGGGAGTAATTTAGGAGCGATGGGAACAGCAGGTTGTCTAAGCTAGGGTTCTCGGGCTTTCACCAGAATTAGAATCCCCTGAAGGCTTGTTAGAACATACTTTACTGGGTCCTACTTTCAGAGCCTCTGATTCAGTAGGTCTGGGGTGGGGCTTGAGAGTTTCCCAGGAGATGCTGGTTCAGAGACCATACGTGGAGAACCACTGCTCTAGAAGGAATCACTTCAAGAAACCAGGGTGGACGTTCTGGCAAGAGAAGTCTGTGTGACTTTAACCAACGCTCTTTGGAGAAGGAAAAGAGCCAGCTTTCCTTTTTCTACCCAATATATTAATCTGAGAGCTGATGTAAAGGACACAAATGATCATTGCAGCCTTTTCTTCTCAGCACTTAACACACTACACAACAAATGAAGCTCGTCTAAGGGAGCAAAATAGGAATCATATTCACTGTCACACCTGGAAAAAAAAAAAGGTTTCTGGAGGAGAAATCATGTCTCATCTACCTTCCAGAGCTCTCTCAGGATTTACCTGGACAGAAAGCCAGGTGTACTTTAGGAGGAAGCAATTTGGATAACCAGTTGCAACCTCTCTCTCCAACCTTACCTCCACCTTCTCCTTCGCAAACCTCCACTACAGGTCAGTCTCCTCGCCAAGGCTGGTCACACTTCCTTAGGCTGTGAATGAGCCTCACACACGTGTACCCTTATCTTCACTTATCTAATGATCCCCCTTCCTCCAACTTAGGGACAGACACTTCAAAGAAGTCTTCTCTCTCTTGTCCCCATCACAGCCAATCAATCATCAAGTCCTGCCAACTTTACCTCCCAAGCAGCTCCAGAACCACCTGGTGCTCTTCGTTTTTCAGCCTAACTCAATTGGTTTAGATCCTCCCTGCTCTCCCCTCTAGGTTTTTGTTTTTGTTTTTAATGGAATATGTCTTTAGTTATTTACAATTGGGGGGTTGTCTGTCTGTTGGGGTTTTTTGTTTGTTTGAGGGGAGGTAATTAGATTTATTTATTTACTTTAATGGAGGTACTGGGAATTGAATCCAGGACCTTGTGCATGCTAAGCATGCACTCTGCTACTGAGCTATACCCTCCCCCCATCCCCTCTAGGTTTTTGAACACGTTGTTCACCTTGACTGAATAGATTTCAATTTAAACAAGATCCTTCCCAGAATGGAGAGGTCTTCTACGATCCCTAAGCCAGGTTAGAACCCTCTTTTATCAGCTCCCACTTTTATCAGCTCCCATTAAGCCCCATGTTCCCTCTACTCTCAACATTTATCTCATTTGTGATCGCTTGCTTAATTATCTATCTTCCCTACTCAACCGCAAGCTCTTCACAGGCAGGATTACATCTGTTTTGCTTGCTGCTGTAACTGCAGCGTCCGGCACAGCCTCTGACACATGGAAGCACCTACTAAGGATTTAACAAATAAGCACAGGAGTCACCACATCAGTTCACAGGAATCCTCCCTTCCTCTCAATGCCTAAAGCACATTCTATCTCCTTCAAGGAATGTCTGGCCATATAGCTGCACCCATCATCTGAGACAAGCAAGCACCTCTTATGACATCGAAGAAATGGCACCTCAAGGGAAAAAGTGACCCTTGAAAAGAAGGAATAGCTTTTCCTTGGAAACTGGATGGAAGTGAGATTAGAGAGATATTTTGGGAGAATAAAGAGGCTACCTTCTCAGAAGTGGTCAGGATCTTTCGTTAACAATGAGGAAAGGAAGGTGTGTGTGACAGAGGTGTTTAGTGATGGAAAGTCTGCATTTCTCCAGAAGCTCTTATTATTCTTAAAGTTGGTAACTTCTCAAGCTAAGTATTCTGAAAGATTCTGCATCCAGACCTTTAATAATGTCAGGCGCCCATGTCTCCAGGATGCCTAAGAAAGGGGGCTGAATTCAATGACCTCCCAAGAACTTCTGACCTTCAGGATTCTATAAACAAACTCACTCCAAGCTGGAATTCGGAGAATCCACATTCTGGCTTTGTCTTTACATAGCAGTTCCTATTGGATGAGGAGACAAGACAATCTTTACCTTCCACCCACTCTCTAATAGTATTAATGCTTTCAGAGTCAGGCACACCCCGTCACCTCGAACCCCACAGTCTGGCTGTCATGTCCCGTGGGCCACCAGCATTAAAATAACTGAGCAAACAGCTTCTGACTAGGGCAAGGGTTAGACTGGACTAAAGAAATCAAGCTTGGATGGTATCCTGGTTTCTACTTGTAGCCAGGCAACTTTGGGCAAGTAATGTGACTTCTTTGAGTCTCAGCATCTTCGTCTCTAAAATGGTGATGATCGTCTACTTCTCAGGATTATTGTATTAAATGAGATATGCACATAAAATCCCCAGCACAGAGTAAACACGCAAGGAATGCCAGTACGATCATAATTACAGATTTTTAGTTTTTAAAAGTTCTGTAGGGTAATGACTCTAAGCTGAAAATACTACTGAAATGAAATGATATGTTTGGAATTTGCTTCCAAACAATCCCAAGGGGGAAGGGAAGGGTATAGATAAAATAAAATCAGCCATGCTTTGAAAACTGCTGAAGATGGGTGATGAATACATCGGATTTATTACCGTATTGCTCTACTTTTGTATATGTTTGAAATTTTCCATGTTAGTTTAAAACTGTAAGTATTGAGAGAGGGAAATGCTGTAAAACTATAAATACTGATAATTTAAGATTGTATTTGAACATGTCTAAGTGACTGGACACAAAAAAATGACTTGGAAGAAAAAGAAAAAAAAACTTAGAGCCAATGCCTCTATTAGTTTCTCAAACAGAATTGTTTTCTTCGACAGAACTGTCTCAAATGATCAGAAGGGAACATAGATACTTGCCCACATTGCTCTGCCTTCATGTTGGGAAGAGCACGTCCTGTGTGGGCTGTACATGCATTTTTAAGCAGACAAGCCTTGGGTGGCAGAACCTGCCTCTGAGCACCCGGAGGACCTCCTGAAATGGGACTGAGGGGCAAGAAGGTTCCCGTGTTAGGAAAAGCAGAAAGGACTCAAAACATTCAGGGACAATGGGTGCCACCAGCCCTCCTCTCTTCTAAGCCCTGGCTTTGCACTCCTATTTGAGGCTTCCTTGGGAGGCTGGCTCAGCTCAATCTGAGGTTGTATTCAAGGTACTTTCACAATAGATGAGTGGGTCCTCCCAGAGCACAGCTAGTGTGTTAGGTGGTGCTTGAGTGGAAAGGGTTGCAGGGAAGAGAGGGCTCTGAAGAGGCTCCGACAACACCCAATACAGCGCATCCCCATATCATCTCCCCCTTTCACATCCCATATCTACACGCTGAGGGAAGTCTGAACACTGGAAAACAAAATTCTCAAGTTCCACCTCGAATCAAACAACCTACTCCAACCCTCTATGTATGAGACAGAAAACAGTCCAACAAGCTTTGTTTTGAGCAAATGTCTTTAAGCTCCCAAGCTCTGCCTGGAAAAGGTGAATATACAAATGTACTTACTCTTCTTGAAGAATAAATTCACTATTTTCTGGAGAAAACTGCCCACTCACAGGATGCCTGAACGCTGTGGTCTGCTGGTTATGGCTAAAAAGAGAGAGAGAGAGATAATGAATGAGCAGTCACGTGAAAGGAAAGGCTCATAGACACAACAACAGGTCAGCAAGGTCTGAGGACCCCTGACCATCAGATTCCTCCCAGGGTGAGACCACGGGCCTTTCCTCCAAGAGGCACTTTATCTGTCAGAACCCAATGCATTTAAACACCAAACACTTCCAGCTCAGGTGCCAAAGCCATTTAAGACATGGAAATTTGAATTCTGGGCAAGCCTTGGCTCCAAGAGAACACTGCATCTTAGAGAGACAGTCCACGAAGCATTTACTCCAACAAACTGAATCACTCAGCGAAAAGTTACTTTAAGATGGCACGAGCTGAAAACAAGAATGAAGGAAAGCAGACGGCACTTTCAACAGCTTCCAAAACCCATGAACCAGGGAAAGAATTCTAAGAATTAACCACCCACCCAGAAAAATCTATCTTCTTAAAATTCTTCTTCCTACTACAAAATGTCTTCGCTTCGATGATGGGATATAAATGTATGGGCATGTCTCTGCAACGTGACCTGTACAATTTCAACACTGTGAAGTTTCTATCACCCTTTTGAAGTGACGAGGGATCGGCTTCCACGCCAAGTTGACAGACACAACCAAAGTGCGTAGGTGTTTTGTGTATTCATAAAAGCTGCCTGGTTCTTTGAAAGGAAGGAGGAGCTGGCTCTAAAGGCTCCATGAATAAACTAATCTAACCTTCTCATTTTTAAAAAAAAATATGATTTACTTTAATGTTCTTCTCAATCACAAAAATCATAGTCATTTAAAAAATTTTAGAAAATGTAGACAGAAAAAAAGTCACCCATGATCTCATCACCTAGAGATATATCTGGGTATCTTCCTAGCTTTTTTATCCTTCTATATGTTAAAAAAAAGTGATTTTAGTATACTCAGAAATCTGTATCCTGCTTTTTTCACATCCTATTAACTTAGAAAACGTCACATGTCATCAGACTTCATTTGAAATAAGTGAGTAACAATCTTATCACACACTGTAAAATTGCTTTCATACAACTGTTCAGAAAATGTTTACTGGCCACCCGTGTGCCAGGTACTGCTTTAGATGCTGGAGATACACAGTAAACAAAAGAGCCTCACCCCATGGTGCTTATATTTTAGAAAGGTTTACATTCTTCTAATGCTGGGCAGTTTAGGTGCTCCCCCTACCCCACCTCCACTGTTGTAATCAATACATCTTTGCATATATAAGCTTTTTCTGCAATTCAAATGATTTCCTTGGGTTAAAGTCCCAGAAGTGAAATTAATCAAAGGGCATGGTCATTTTTTTAAGGCTCCTAATACAGACGGTTAAAATGCTTTTACTGTCAGAGTCAATATATCATCTCAGTTTGACAGTGTAAAGATATCAATCCCATCTCCAGACTGAGCCCTGACTCACCATGGAGAACCATAGGTTTAAATGAGCATAGTATAAAGGTTAAAAGAGAAAAAAAACTCAAGGCCTACAAAGCTTCCCTTACTCTGCCCTGGGGCCTGGTCAGCGCATCCTGTGTCATGGTGTCTGGGGTAAGCTGGCACTGAGGGCTGAGCAGCCTGAATTCTGTAAGCCCTGGGGCCAGGCTGCTCCCTGGCTCTGTGACTGTGCACCGCCCACACCCCCGCACCCTCTCACCCCTCCCAGCCACTGCCAGTCCTTGGAATCCTATGACCTCATCAGGCAGGCAGCAGGCTGCTCTTCCCAAAAAAGCAGAGTTAAGGTGTGAGCATTTAGATAAGGATGAGAAGCAGGCCCCTTCAACACCTATTTCAGAAATCCCTGCACTGTGTTCATGGGTTAGGCTTTATTTACACCCAGCTTCTATTAGAGACATCTTCATTCACCAGGGAATTTGAAAACACAGACTCTAACCTAAGCCTGTCTCATTTCCACCTGGCGAAGAAAAACGCTCTGCTCATGACAGGAGTAACGATAAATCCTATCCACTACTAATTACCTTTACAAAGCCTTTTCTTACACACCTGAGCTATTAACACTGTCCACCCCTGTTTTATGAATGAAGAAATGGCTCAGAGAGGTTAAGTGACTTTCTCAAGAAAACTTCGTCAATAAGTGATAAGACTGGGACATAAATCCAGGTCTTTCACTTCTAAATTTGATGTTCTTTGCATGATAACCTGCTGTCCTCTTCCCTTAGGATTCTGTGGGGCTGACAGCTTCCTGGCCATGATCACAAATCACTAAAGATAAAGCATCAGAAAAACAGCAGCGTCTACTGCTCCTCCCTTTCCTTCCTTCCCCTTATGCCCAGGGCCAAATTTCTGAATGACTGCATCTATATGGCACTCTGGAGCCCCCACACAGTCTTTGGTCCTATTACGAGGTCAACTTGGATCCCTGGTAGATGCGGGCAAAGAGCAAATCTTTCATGTGCCTGGAGCAGCACCCAGCATCCAACAATGGCTTCATATACACTGTACAACAGTAACAGCAACTCCTGGGCTCCCTACACCCAGCTTGTACCAGCGTAAATAAGCCCAGGGTCTTGAGTAAATGAATCCTGAGCTGGAAGGTGTAGGCATGAATTATACATTCTAACATTAGAAGAAAAATAGTTTTTTAAAGTGGACAAAAATATAGCTGTCATTTGATCAGACCTAAAGGCAGCTTCCCAACATTTCTTGCCTTATATGGATGTTGCCCTTTTTGCCAAAAATAGTTATCAGCCACAGCATCATCACCACCATTTCTTGCACTTACACGAAGTTTGAAGTGTGGTCATGTTCATCACCATATTTGACCCTCCCAAGTACCCACAGAGGTAGGCAGGGCAGCTATTTTTATTCCCATGTTACACAAAAGGAAACTGAAGATCTGGAGTATGGGATGTTATTGGATCGTTAAATTAGAAAAAAACAAAAGGACTCAATACATTGAGAAAAGAGAGAATCAGAGTAATGCCTCTTGAATACCGAGGTCTTAAAATTTGATGGCCTCTGATCAAACTCGCCTCACTTGCTAACGGCAGAGCTTCTGGTTCAGCACTTTTTGAGTAAAGAAGACTGAGGTCCTTGGGCTATTTCATCCAATCTTCCTGAATACCCAGCAGGGCAGGCTGTAGTCAGTCACATCAAGCCACAGGTGAGGAAGTGCCCAGAAAGGGTAAATAACATGCCCACATCAGTCAGCTTCAGTGTCCCTGCAACCACTGTCCTTCTGATCCTTCTACTACTCCAGGCTCACCCTCACCACGTGGAGGTTGCCTACTGAACACTGAAGCCCCACACCCATTTGGAGATACCAAAGTCCCCTGACTTCACCTGCTGTCCCTGACCCCTCAGCCCCAAAGCCCCCAGCCTGCTCCATATCCTGATTTTTGATTTTCTAAAATCCATGAAGAATCTCATGTCCTATCACCCTGTCTCAAGACGCTGTTAGCAGGCACAGACAAATCCCCTGAAATACCTGTTCTTAAACCTGAATTGCCACCTTGCTCTCCGGCAGTGATGGAGATGGCCCGGCGGGGAGCCAGGCGGCTGGTTTCAATGTAGCACAGAAACTCTCTCTTCTCCATACAAAGGCTTCTGTTGCTCTTCAGGCTCCTGAGAAAGTACTCGGCAAATGAGGTAGAACACAACCTAGCCTTTATTCTCGGATCCCGCTCTTCCTCCCAGGATTCCCCTCCAGGTGGAGTGGTAGTCGGTCTCGCCTGCAGAGGACCAGGGATTACAGGTGGAAGTCGGCAGGGAAGGACAACCCCTGTAAAGGCGGGCCACGTAAACAAGCACGTCCTCACAGGCCAGAAGGACTTGGATTAGGCCCCGAAGAAGTCCGACAGCCAACACAAGGGACTTGATAAGAGGACAGAGTGAGGTCCAGGGAGAACTGGAGACCGATTTGAGCTCAGCAGAAGGAAGAGCCCACCTACAATCACAGACATGGCCAGTCAAAATGTAAACGGGTCCTACAGTTTCTTGCAACATTTTTGCAAGATTAATCTTCAATGTATACAAATTTTGACTATAACGTGAGCAGTGACTCTGGCTGGTTAAACACTAAGGTCCCGATTTACTCAGCATGGCCGTTCTTTTCAGCGTGGCAAATAGTTCCGGAGTTACGCGAATGGTGCTCAGGAGTGGAGGTGGGAGCAGCCTGATAAATCTGCTTTTCTGACAGGGGTGGTATTGGTATGCTGAGAGCGGGCAGATCTGCTCTGTCAGCACTAGCTCTTATCTGGCCTATGCTATAAAGAGAAGAAAC